TGTATTCTCAGGTTAAAATTCGGCCAATGATGTATATAGCTTTGACGTATGATCATCGGCTGATTGATGGACGTGAGGCTGTGATGTTCCTAAGGAAGATCAAAGACGCTGTGGAAGATCCTAGAATTATTTTGGCTGGCCTTTAATAATTTAGGACACACATTTATTGCGCGTGTTAACGATGCGGTTGATCACCATTGGATAAACAAGAACGCGACACGAGAATCTGGAATCTCGGCAGGCAGTCTCTCCGTTTCCGGAAACCTCTAATCATTGGAACGTCCCCTCTAAGAAACGTATCTCGATACCTTATTTCGAATACCATTAATCTTCAAGCCACACGTGGGATGATGTGACAGGTGTAGTCATAAATAACGATATAAGCTGGCGAACTAGTCTTGTCTATTATTCTGAATTCTTGCAACGACAGTATTGTAAAGCGAATTCGCTTCGCATGTTACAGTCTATATATCGCTGAACGACGTAACTTTTTTTATTGGAATTTCTCCACATATTATTCGGCAACCCGAATAAATGCCGAACCGATAATCGCATTCTTGCGAGCATTCATATTTTTGTCGCCGCATCGATGTCGATCGGTGTCGAAAGGCGGAGCACAGAGAAGTTGGAGCCGAGAAAGGGCTAGAAGGTACTTATCCTAAGTACTCTAGATGTAGATCCATAAGCTAAAATAAAATCTCTCACCAATATAAGTCTCTTTAGCGTTGTTGAATTGTGCGTCACATTGCGGCCGTAGGATAAGTAACGTGATAAATATTTAAATACGTGGAAGTGATATTACTGTTGGCACTTGTACGTTTATATATCGAGCATCTCGGGGAGAGGGGGAGGGAGATATGTTGCACGTGAGGAATTTTGCACTCGAAGGAAAATGGTTCATTCGTAATTTTGTAAATCAAAAATTGTTTATTAAGTATAAAAGAAATCGACTGTCGTCTACGTTTATACGACTCGATTTACGTCGAGGTTGTAACATCGATGTTATGAAACTGGCCAATCACAGTCATTCCATTCTTCAGAGGAATAGCTATGACTGGCCAGTTTGATAACATCGATGTTATAACTTTGGCGTAAATCAAGCCATGTAAACGTAGTCAATGTGGACAAGATATGTTTTTGTAATAGAGTATGTATGTGGGAGGAATGGGATGGAAGAGCCGTTTAAACACGCGTTAATTTATAAAAATAGAGTACACTGCCAAGTCCTGCGATGAACGTTTTGAGTCGCCGTTCGAGTATTTGATACGAATCCATTTGCACTGTTATTGATAACGGTGTTATCTCGCGAGCGACGTTTCCATCATTACGTTTGCATCGTCAGATCACAGCTTTATGCATGAAAATGTGCGAATGCTCTTTTAGTCTCATTGTAAAATATATTGTATATCGTTGGATACTGTATATTAACGAGAAAACGCATATAAAGCACGCTAATTAAACATCGAATTTCGTTTCATTTTAACAGTGCTGTTGACATAAGATCGTAATTAATCGCTAATATTTAATAATAATTACTTACAATTATATAAATGACCGAATAAGTTTTTAAGAATTTTTTTGTATTTTATTTTCTTAAATTTTCTATCATGACTCGCGCTAGTCATCTTTTAATTATTATGACTGCAGAAATGAGAGGAAGAAGAGTTATTGTACGAATAATTGTCGCAGACTTTCCGGAATGACACATTCATTTCTCGTGTCTGTAAATTAGGTAGGTTTTACATCTTTAATTCTGTTCAACTAATAAATATAATTTTATATATAAGTGCAAAGTGCCTGAAAAAAATATAAATTGCCTGAAAAATTTTATGAACGTTTCTAAAAAAAATTCTTCACTCGCACCAGACATGTTCGATTATAATTTTGAAAACACGAGGAAGAGTATATGTGTACACATATGCACGCACGAGCGCGCGCGCGCACACACACACACACACACACACACCTGCAAGAATAATTCTCACAGATTTCCCGAATTGACTTCCCGATTATTTTTTTGTGTCTATAAATTAAGTACATTTTACATTTTTAATTTCCTGTTCAGTTAATAGATCTTATACGTACCAAGTACCAGAAAAAATATAAATTGCTTCAAAAATTTTATAAACACTTCTTTAATATAAAATTATTCACTCGCACCAGACATCTTCGATTATGATTCGAAAATGAGAAAAAGAGTATGTGAATATTTTTCTCGAATTTCTCAAAATAATCCGGTTATTTCTCGTATAAATTGAGTACATTTCATACCGTTAATTCTATTCAGCTAATAGATAAGATATTTCTATACAAATTTGGAGAAACTTATTATATTAAAATAAGTTTGAAAGACGTTTTCTTTATCCGCAATCGCAACTTTTCGCAGCGGGAGAACAGATGTCGATCTTTTCTTATCGACTGTGCACAATCGATTCACTAGCGAATGACTCCGCCGTTTCGAAGAGCAGCAAGCACAGACAAGCCAGATTGAGCGTCATAAGGAAAGATGGTGAGTCTGTCAAAACTATCAATTGATTATTATTTAATGTAAAACTTGAAGTGGCTTTGCTATTCAGAAGAATAAAAAACAGTTGCGTATTGTTGCTAATTTTCTACGATCTATTCTACTTATCGATCGTTTAGATTTAGGTTAGCCATCCTTCAAATGTTTGCTCTATCTTAAATTCATTTTTCAAGTTTTATCAAAAAGAATTTGACTTTTCTCAAACGATTACGACATTTCTTTTAATGCAGCTTTTAATTTATCAGTGAAATTCTTTGATAATAATAAATTGTAACATAGGGTCAGAATCAGTCTGGCACTGGTGGCAGTGGAGGAGACAAGAAGGATGACAAGGATAAGAAGAAGAAGTACGAACCGCCGATTCCCACAAGAGTGGGTAAAAAAAAGAGGCGTACTAAGGGGCCGGATGCAGCTCTAAAATTACCACAAGTGACTCCTCACACGCGTTGTAGACTGAAATTATTAAAAATGGAGCGCATAAAGGATTATCTATTGATGGAGGAGGAGTTTATTAGGAATCAGGAGCGCCTGAAGCCACAGGAGGAGAAGAATGAAGAGGAAAGATCGAAAGTAGACGATCTTCGTGGTACACCAATGTCCGTTGGAACATTGGAAGAAATAATTGATGACAATCATGCGATAGTGTCTACCTCGGTTGGCTCCGAGCATTATGTATCCATCTTGTCATTTGTGGATAAGGATCAGTTGGAACCTGGTTGCTCTGTATTGTTAAATCATAAAGTTCATGCTGTTGTTGGTGTTTTAGGAGATGATACAGATCCTATGGTTACAGTAATGAAACTTGAAAAAGCTCCTCAGGAGACCTACACTGATATCGGAGGTATGTTACACACACACACACACACACACACATATATATATATATATATATACACACACATCTGTTTTATATCCAAATATTTTGTAATATTTTATATTTATCTATATAAATTCTGATAAATTTATAATTAATTATGTCTTGTTATATAAAATTGTGTCAAGGTTTATAATCTTTAGCAAGAAACTTGAAAATTTCAAACCAAATTAAATTTTAATTGAAATTTAATTCAAGACTTAAGCATAAAATTTGACTTTAAAATATGTGTAAATTGAAGTAATTTAACGAAGTAGAATTTTACTTATAAATTAAAGAAATATTGCTTTTGGATAATTGCATACATTATCCAGAAATTGTTATGTAAAAATCAAAGAATATATGACTCGTGAATATTTTCAGGTCTTGATACTCAAATTCAGGAGATTAAAGAATCCGTAGAATTACCATTAACTCATCCAGAATATTATGAGGAAATGGGTATTAAACCTCCGAAAGGTGTGATACTTTATGGACCACCTGGCACAGGGAAGACACTGCTCGCCAAGGCCGTGGCTAATCAAACATCAGCTACATTTTTGAGGGTTGTCGGTTCTGAACTTATACAAAAATATTTAGGGGATGGTCCAAAGCTTGTAAGAGAGCTTTTCAGAGTTGCCGAGGAGCATGCTCCTTCTATTGTCTTTATAGATGAAATAGATGCGGTAGGAACAAAAAGATACGACAGCAATAGTGGAGGCGAAAGAGAGATTCAGAGAACTATGTTGGAATTGCTTAATCAATTGGACGGTATGCTAATTTCTTCCAATTCAAAATTCAGACAAAAATCTTTTTATACTAGTAAACTTTATGTTAGATATTAATAAATATATTAGATATTATAATAAAAACATATTAGATGTTAAATTTGAAAAATTATTACTAGGTTTTGATAGTAGAGGCGACGTAAAAGTGGTTATGGCTACTAACAGAATAGAGACCTTAGATCCTGCTTTAATTAGACCAGGTCGAATCGATAGGAAAATAGAATTCCCGCTGCCAGATGAAAAGACTAAAAGAAGAATCTTCAATATTCACACAAGTAGAATGACTTTAGCGCCTGACGTGAATCTTGCAGAATTAATTATGGCAAAGGATGATCTTTCTGGTGCGGACATCAAGGTAGGAGATTCTTTTGTAAAAATTCAACTCTGCTTATACATATATCTTGTACTTTCATGCAGTTCTTTTTTATTAAAATAAAAGAAAATAATATTTGTGACTCTAACAGTGAACCAATGCCAAACAAAATTAAAGCAAAATTGTAAATCCTCATTTTTTATTGCTTCATTAAAATGGATTAAAAATTTTTATTTCAGGCAATATGTACCGAAGCTGGTTTAATGGCTCTACGTGAACGACGTATGAAGGTTACCAGCGACGATTTTAAGAAATCTAAGGAAAGTGTGTTATATCGGAAGAAGGAAGGTTCTCCTGAGGGATTATATTTATAAAAAAAAAAGTTTATTATCACTTATCTCTGTATTGAGTCGCGAAACTGTCCCAAGTGTCTCAATAAAAATTTCTACAGGAGATTAACTTTTTGTAGCAATATATATATTAAAAACATTATTTTTAATATAATCTAACCAATTATTTGTTCGGTAAATCTGTAAATTGCTTAAATATATCTAAAGAGTTGAATTGATTTCAATGCCCGATTTCTTCAAGATTGGTTCAAGATACTCATGTAGCCTGTTTATTGTTTCTGCAGAGTGTTCTCTCTGTTCGTTTAGGACTTCGGAGAATGGAGCTTTTTCATGCAAATTGGAAGTTTTATTTCGCGATTCCACCTCGCATATCCAGCATGCACCGCGTCTGGCTCTTTTGAGAACAGCTGCCACATCCGTGGGATGTTCTAATGTGAGCGTTGAAGCGACAGCCAGACCCTTGTACCTTCCTAAAGTGAAAGCGGTCTCGAAACCGTCTTTGTAACCAATATCGAATCCCTCTTGCAGCACAGAGTCTGCTCCGTCTTGTATCCCTTCTCTGTAGCCAGTCTAAAAATATGATTATCAAATGTGGCACGGTAAGTAATTGCAACATAAATATCGCGTCAGAAACTGCCGAAAATCGCTTACGTACTTTGATAGCAGCGTCCACAAGGCGTTTCCAGCATTTCGAAGCGACGTATAGAGAATCGTCATCTCTAGTCGAATCGTACTCTGTCGTTTGTATTATATCTTCCATTGTATAAGTAGACATTATTCTGTCCGATTATCCTCGAAACAATTTTGCGATGCTCAACAATTTTGTGACATGTTTCAAGTCAAATCAATAGAAATCTTTATTTCTGCACAAAATAATATCGAATAAATAGGTATATTTTTATCAAAATTTAAAGTAAGATGGTTAAAGAAACATTTACCAATAGGTACGTTTACGTACGTATAATTGCAATGGTTAATATGTAATTGTAGAGCGCTTCAAATATTCATAATAATTCATGTAACAACTACGCGCGGAGAATCAATTGTATAAAGAAATTAAACAGTTAACAGTTAAGTAGTGTTTGCATATGTTTGACATTCCTGCGGTATTACGTACATGACAGCAGATGTTAGGTTAAGTTAAGCTGCGATTAGACGTAAACAGTGATAAACATATTTGGAAAAAACGTACATTGAAGGAAGATTATGGAATAGCGCAGAGTACCTGAAAATGTCGGGACGTAGAAAGAAAGACAAGAATAAACTGCTGCAATGGAGGCCCCGTAATGTTCTCTGCAAGGAGCTGAGGTATCACCAGAAGAGGGACAGAACGTCTGACTGGTCTGAGAGCTCGGATAAGGAAAACGATGAGACAGGTTAGATTAAGATGAGTTTCGTGTTTTGCAATGTACATGTTGTACATTAGGAGTATAATGTACTCTTTGCAGAGACGGTAAATGAATGGCCATTGCCATTCCCTGTGGCTATGTGGGATCTAGAGCACTGCTCCAAACAGTCTAAACATGGTACTGGCAAAAAGCTAGTGAGACATGGTTTAACAAAGTTGCTGCGACTGAGTACACGATTTTCAGGCCTTTGCCTTACTCCAGTGGGCAATAAGGTAAAATGAAGAAACAATAAACAACAATAATCTCGTCGTCTAGATTCTTAGATGAAATGTTTGTCGCAGTGCGTGACTCCGTTGGATCGCAAGATTGTAGAGAAGTATGGTTGTGCAGTTGTTGATTGTAGTTGGTCGCGTATTGACGACACTCCCTTCAACAAAGTAAGGACATCCCATCCTCGCATATTGCCTTTCTTGGTTGCTGCCAATTCGACAAAACCCTGCGAATTGAGTTGTGCGGAGGCTATTGCAGCTACTTTAATCATAACGGGATTTTCAGACGAAGCTGACCTGATTCTTGACAAATTTAGTTGGGGACACTTGTTCCTAGAACTAAACAGCGAATTGTTGGAAAAATACGCTCGTTGCGCAAATACTGAAGAAGTAATAGCTGTACAAGAAAAGTTTTTAAAGGATATCCAACAGGAAAAAATAGACAGACTTGGTAAGAACATCTAATTATTTTGTGCTTATCCTATATATATATATATATATATATAATATTTGTGTTCTTTAGCGCTTTCTGACTTTCCACCAAGTGATACAGAATCTGAAGAAGAGGCGGAAGAAAAAGATAAGAGCATAGTGTCCGAAATAGCTAAGGAACTAGCCAATGCAAGAATATAAAGTACAATATTGCAGCTATTTTACACAATCAAATAATGCACTAGAGGTGTGCGAATCAAACATTTATATGAGGTTGAATTTCGAACCAAATCTTTGATAATATATTCAAAAATGAATCGAATCGAATCAAATTTTCCTGAATTTATATTAAAAGTTAATTTAAAAATATTTTCAATAATTATATATTTTTTTAAGTAAATGAGAAAATAAATCATTTTTAACTTATGAGAGTCGTGTATAAATGAAGCAAATAAAATAGGCTTTTATAGGAATGATTTGAAATCGAACCACCGATAAACCACTAAAAATTTGTAATTTATTATTTCGATTTCTCGAATCTCAGAAAACAAATCGAATTGAATCTATTATTAGCGAATTTGGTCACTTGCACTGACTTGCACTACACTAGATTCGTGCATACTAAAGTTGCTTTATATGAAATTAGCAAAGTTAAATGTAAAAATATATAAATATTTTAAACAATTAACTATCTACTAATATCTACACATTACTTAACAAAATATATATGTATCATTTCATTGTCAAAGTTAATTATACTGTATCAATGCATTGAGATATTTTACATAAAGCAGCTTTTAATATGCACTAATGTAGTGAGTGATCGAATTCATCATAAGATTCGATTTTAAATTATTCGCACACCTTCTGTAATAGAGCCTCTAAAAAATAAAAGTAAATTTTGTTACAAAATATCAAAGGATTTTGACTGACAATCTTTTTCAATAAAATAATTAATACATAATCAAATAATTTAAAAAATATCCATAATAATCAGTAGTTGAAAGCTGCGAATGGTTAATTTAAATTAATGAGAATTAAATTAATTATATTTCTTTGAATTAATTATATTAATTTAAAGAAATATGTATTCATTATTTTGTTGAAAAAGATTGTGAATCAAAATCCTTTTATATTTTTTAATAAAATTTTTATTTTTTACCTACATTCGTTAAATATTTCTATTGGCACTTGTTTTATTGTATTATTGTTTGGCAAAAACGAGCTATAAAATAAATTACATTCATTAAAAAAAAAAATGATTATTTAAAGAGATTGTTTTTAATATAGATTGGAAATCGTTAATATTTTTCAACATAATTGTATACTAACATTTTATATTCTGTATAATATTTGCACTTTTTTTATCAATTAAATTTTTTATTTTAGCTTATGATAATATGTGTGAAACATATATTTGCAATTAATATTAATCTATTAAGATATATTTAACTATTCAAAGATTTAATTTTTGCAAAAACGAGCAAAAGTATGTGCATTAGAATCGAAGTCGTAGAGTGAACGAAGTCCATTCGTCCGCGCGATCTCTTTCAATTCTTTAGTAAAGTCTTGCAAATCCTCTTTGCGAAGATCTGCCATATGTTTGCGCAATTCCACAATCATCGGTGCATCAGCAGATATCAATGGTACCAAATTTGGTAATTGTTTTGTCATATTATGCGCCACCCAAATCAGATGGAACCTATTTATATATTCGCATTTAGACTTGAGAGACTCCAGCGACGTTATAGGATGAAATATTATCTAAAAATAAGTGCTGTCAACAAATTCATTCACATTGGCTATTAAAGCATACAAAACGTACCTTGTGATTTGGTACTTCCATCCAAGAAATCTTTTTATCTTGTTTAGATTTATCTCCAGTACCTATCCAGGATTCGTTTTCCATTTCAATATCCGGCATTTCGCTCATTATAATGCCATTTAAAATTGAGACATCCCTATGAGCACCGACGTGATCTTCACATAGTGGCTCTTTCGTTCTTATTTCATAAATTGCACGCATTATCTCACGTTCAGCAATGTCAGTTGCCCTACGTCTTTAAGATTTAAGAATTTTTATTTATGGGAAGCAAACATGTAAATTTTTCTTTTGAATATATTTTATTACTTGTCTTCGGTGTTTCCAACAGCAGCCCATGTAAAAAACGGACCATTCACAATGTCTCCCAAGTATGCATAATGTATAAAACTAGGTCCAAGTTGAATTATATTATTCAACAGAGTTGGATTGCTTCTAACTGGTTCACCTTCGAGCCATGTAAAAGCTATTCCATTATTTCTCCAAAATCTAATAATTATAATAACATATTTTGTCTTTTTCTCGTTGATATATTTAGATAATCATTTCAACTAAAGAAGCATATCATCTTGCTCACAATTTTATATGCAGTTTGAACTGCTTACAATGTATAAACGTACCTATATTCTTGTACAGTAAGATTAGTGGTACATCTGGGCTTTAAAATCATATGATAATCCCAATCAAAAACACCTTCTCTGTAGTCATATCTCGTTTTCAATAACTTCCTGATTCTGTGATCCCAATAATTCACAATGGGAACTCCTTCACATGTTGCACGTGCCCAAAATCTTATAAGAAATTATTACAACAATTAATACAGAAATAAAAATAAATGTCTGCGGAATCATTAAAGTACCTTTACTTAAAATCAGTAGCAAATTTTTCAAGTCTGTCTCTAGATGCTTTGTATTGTACAATCTTTCAAATTAAGTTTCGCTCGAGCGTCTCAGATACCAAAATCCACCACTGTTAGAAACTATTTTATTTTTTATTACTATGTCCCCTTAAACTTAACGTTAACTTACTTAAAAATAGATTCCAAATTATCCCTATCCTTGTGCTTAAATTTTTCTAACGATAACCATGGACACTCAACAGTGCGGGTCGGAATATCGATCAGTTGTTTAGTGCATTTTGCTAAATATTTAGCCGTAGCCGGTCTCAAAAGAGTGTTCCCTAAAATCTCCAAATAATATCGCGTCGCCTCTTGCAGTCCTTGGGTATATTAATTATGTATCTTAGTTCCATTGATTTCTCTAACATAAGCTAGATATTAGTATTCACAAATACATACCCAAATCTTTTTCTAAGCAAAGGCTTAATAAAAGTATCGATCTAGCAACTTGCTCCAAAGTCGGTTCGATAATGTGATATGTTATAGTTCGAGCAGGATGTGTGTAAGATGAAGCTAGCGTTTTCACGATATGCCGTGCATCACCAGAACCTACAATCAATACTTCAAGATTGTTTAAAATGCAGTCTTCTATTTGTATTACTTCAGCTTGTAAATCTAGCGGTTGACTATATCCCCACCACATATTGTTTCAAGATTTGCTGAACTTTACGAAATATACATTTTCAAAGAATTGTTATATATGTACTTAACAATTATCAGGATTTCTATTACCAAGCTTGTTTTAAAAGATTTGTTATCTCCATGGTAACCGTAGAAACGAAGAGAATGATCACAGATCAGGTTCAATCATGGTGGAATATACTTACATCATGGGTTCAATAGAATGTTTTGAAAGCAAAATATTTCCGCAAAATGTTTTTTCTTTGTATCGATTATACTTTTGAATTTAGAGGACTAGTGAAGAAAACTTCCAACAGTTGCAAAATAAATATTGTCCTGAACATGGTCAATGTTTATTTGAATTGTATATATTTTGTTCTAATAAATATTTTAATTTTTTTCTAAGAAGTCACGTTGTATCTAAACAGAGATATGTGCATTAATTAGAGGCAGAAAGTAAATAAATAGAAAGACATTTGGCTAGAGGAGTAAGAAGTATTATATTAAAATAAAAACGTTATAGATTTATATAATAAAATTATAAACATATTATTATATATAGTGACATAGTCATGTCTTTTTTAGACTTATAAAACCATTTATTTATTCCTATATATAGAATCTGTGACACAGATAAAAATAGTTCCCTTTTGAACTTTCCTTCAACAAAGTTCGTTTATAGATTCTACGTATTTATTCAGCACAATTGCTCATTTGTCCCTCTTTTTCTGTGCTCGTTTGTTACCACAGCGTTGCAAAAGATCAGTAATAGGGCCTTTATGTTGAAATATAGCAACTAGTTGTGTACGTGCTTCGTTCATACCCTCACTGATTAAATTACTGCGCTGCATATTCCCTTTAATCAGTTCGTTTACGCGTTCAAGACCATCATTATGTTTACTTTTAACGGTTTGCTGTGATTCCAGTAGCGTGAGTGTCGTTTTTAATTTTTCATGAACCTACGGATGTATTATACAAATATGATTCGCTGTCTAAATGTAAATAAATTGAAGAAAAATCTAAACAATGTGACAAGTCAATATACCTGTTTTTCAAGGGATGCGATATCTTCCATTTGTGTAGTGAGATGATAGATTTTCCATCCATTTAATCTCTGTAATACGTATTTCTGTTGCGCCAGTTCAGCAACTGTTGGTCTTCTTTCCTCCCGAGGTCGGACATCGCTAGGTCTTCTATAATGCTGTAATCTAACTGTCCATTTGTTTTTCCAAGAAGAGCCTAAAAACATATGATTAAGAAGAGCATAATTAATATAGAAAATACGAACAATGTAATGGATATAACGGAACAAAATGTTTGTATTATATATATATATATTTATATATATACCTAATAAACTTGGTACAGGTCGTGATCGTGCTATTGTGATTTCGGTTTGTTGAGTAGATGATTTAATATCACTTTGTACATTGGAGAGTTGCCTTTTGTCGGACAACTTCTCTTTTGATTCCTCTTTATTCTCCTTCTTCAATTTTTCCTCAGTGAGAAATTGCATCTCTTCCTCCGTAAATTTAGGTTCAGTTAATTCTACGCCTGTAAGTTGCTGTTTGCGTGGTTTTTTTCTCGGCGACATTTCTATAGTGGGATTAATAGTAATTCTGGATTGTTCAAGTTCCTCGTCGAGGCCTGGCGAAGATGTAGCAGATACAGTCGTGGATCCAGAACTTTGGCATCCACCACCATCCTGATCGCCCTTTGGTGAGCATGGCGGACTGGACATTGATCTACTTGATGGTAAAGATGCTAATACGGGAACTAAATTTTTAGCTGCACCTGCAAGAAATTGTGACTCCCCTGTGAAATTGAAATTCTATAATGGATATCCATTAAACAAGTACAATTAATTTATTAGCAGAAAATTTCAGGTTTTATTTTATAATATATAATAGAAGATAGAAAAAATAAAAACTACAATAATTAATTATAAATGTAGCATATTAAAAGAATATATACAAAAAATTTATCTGCAATATCTAATTTACTTTTATTTTAATATTCTTTTCGTTTTGAACTGTCTTAACAAACTAGGTAATAGAATGAGAATTTTTTTCCATATGTAAACAGCTTATCACATGTAAACATTTTCTTAATTAATACATTAAAGTCAACATTTTCAAGCATGTTTCAACACGCTGCAAAATTAAATCTTCCAATTTCTATCATTATAAATCAATAAAATATACTTGAAAAAAATCGTCACTATATGTCATCAGTTTTAGTTGAATTTTCCTATTCCTTATTATATATGTATTTATATGTGTTTGTGTTGTTATAGAATAAATGATACTTTTTATATAACATGTCGTTATTGCTTCATTTATATTTAGTAATGTAATCATACCTTTAACTGGTGAATTGTCATGATCTCTCTTTCTCAGAATGCTCGGTCTGGGAGATGCATTAGGTTTACCATGGGGTTCTTCGTATCCTGGCTCAACAACTAATCTCACTGGCTGCACTGAAGCTTGTCGAAACTGTGAATACGTTCCTGAAAAACAAATTTTTATATATCGCAGAAGATAATATAATTATATTTATCACAGGATACAAAAATGTAAAAGATAATTCACTTATTAGTCTTTTTTAATTGATTTTTACCTGTAGTCTCAAAGGAAAGATACGTAGTAGTATGTGGTGGATGTATATATTGCCCTTGGACCGGCTGAGCGGAACTTGTGGCTGTACTGCTGTTGGTGGACGACATGCGCAAATTAGCTTGTGGTGCCGGTTTCACTTGGACGGTTTGTCCAATATTTTGGGACTGTGTAGGAGCAGCCTTGATCGGTGCCGACGCAGCCCTGACCGGTAGAGCGATGGGCAAAGGATGTAAGGACATTCCTGCGATTTTCGCAACTGTAGTTGGAACTGTTTGCAGTATGCGCATTGCATTTGACTGTGTATTTGCAGTTGTTGTAATTACTTGTGATACAGTACTGAGGCTCGACAGAGATGTGACGGTTTGAACAACACGCGGTGCACCTTGCTGTGGTTGAACCTGTTAAATAATTATTATATTTATCACCTTGAAAGAATTTTCAATATATTGTAAATTAGAGTACAACACAATTAGAGTACCTGTTGCGAAGGGATAACGATATGGCTAACGGTCGATGGTCCAGCCACCGTATTACCACTAATTGACAATTGTCGTCCTACTGTTGGTTCCACCGAACCGACAGTAACTGAAGCTGTACTGCTTATTCTGTTGACTGTCTCTACAATGGGTGATGCAGCTATACGTTTCGTCGTACCAGTGGTAGTTAGAGGTCTGCTAGACTGAGTAGGCTAAACATTTCAATAAAATTTATAAATTCATAAATTGTATATATATTCCTTCTTGGCATTTATGTGCAATTCAGAAAAGTAGTACACTCAACCGTCACGTATGCCTTCACCTCCGGGTCGAACGCATTGTGTCGATATTCGTGTACCATGACTCAAAACTGTGTTTGATAACTGTAAGTTTTTGAAAGTGCGTAAAAGAGTAAACAAAAAGTTGTACAACATTACACATATATTATATATTATATATGTATACATATATTAATTTATTATATCACATAATTTACTTGAATGGTTTGTGTCGACGATCTGGTGGGTTGCGAGGTCTGTGACACAGTTACTACTTGCGGCGTTGGCGGTCTGTTTTGTGCAACTGGATGTCTAGTAAGATTAGTTTGCAAGACGGGTGCTATTAACCTGGACGAACTACCAGCAACCATGGTAGCTTGAACAGATCTTGCTTGACTGGCTGGCGTAATTAATCGTGGCTGTTGTCCTGTATACACAGTGGACGATGGCCTGGAGACTCTGCTGACGGAAGGAGTGGGATGCCTTTGCGGTTGCGCATATAATGCAACAGATGTTGTTTTAGGTTGCCATTGGGGATTAGAGATTGGTGTATTACTACTGAAAAAATCGACATGTAATGTGATATAACTAGTTTGTTCTATTAAAATAATTCTGCATATATATTTCTAAATATAACTATTTTAATTTCTCCCTTTTAATTACATATATTATGTTTCATCTTTTTGGAATATTTCAGAAACTGTTTTACTTTAGGTATGTACGTACCCTGGTCTAGTAGCAGGCACAATTTGTCCTATATTTGTCCTGACGATAGGAGTGGCAACTGTCGATCTAGGTGCAGAGATATTAGCAACTGCAGCAGGTCCACGCGGTACATGGTACGTAGCTGGTATAGTTACTGGATGTGGTAATTGTGTTTGAGGTGGAATTTGCCTTTCCACAGTACTTAACATTCCTGGTGATATTATTTTTACTGTAGATCCTATGGAACATAACTAGAAGCGTTGAATTTGATATTAATAAATCTATCACAAATTATATATATGCATTAAAGCACTTGACAAGTTAATTTTTTAATTATTAAAATATCCTACATTATATAAAATACTTTTTGGTACATTTAATACTAAGTGTTGAAATAAATCCTTATTTACTTTATTATAAAACAAAAAATTCTACTATATTTTATTTTACAGTAAAACATAGTAAAATATTTCATTATATAAAATAAAATATAACGACTGTGTGTGTCCATACATCCATGTGTATACGCGTGTGCGCAACACTCCTGTATAAGCAACATAACATATTAATACTACAACACTAGATATAGCACAATGCTAGAATTACCGTTGTTGTTATTTTACTCGTTTCTGTAGACGAGGTAGTACCAGAAGGTACCACAGGTTTCATTAAAGACAATTTCGGATTCATGTCCAGAGATACCGATTTGCCTACTAGACCACTGGGCGTCATGGATCCAACAATAGTCTGGGTCGGTTGAATGCTCGGCACATTACTCTGTACCATGCTCTGCACACTCTGCACACTCTGTACATTCTGTTGCATTGTAGTTAAGTTTTGTGCCACGGTCTGCACAGTTGTTTCCGGTAGACGTTTGTCACCACCGCTACTGACAGTGCTTATTGTAGTGTTCATGGCTGCACTATTAAAACAAAACAGATGAATTAATTACATACAGGCCGCGTATAGAGAAAGATCAGAGTAGATCTGGATGATGATCCACAATAGCCAAGGAATCATCCACAAGGGTACTCTAGTGAGGGGTGAGGCGGGTTTACACGGGAGTTGACCTGCAAGCTGCTCTCGACACATCGCGCTCAAAGCAGGACGAGCCATCTGCACGACGACAGTCCGGGTTGTTGTTTTATGTCAGAATGGAGTATTGGTCCAAGCCTCAAACAAACTTTGGAGGTTACGACGACCCGTCGATGCGTACGCGGGAGAAGATCCGAACGGGGACGTGCAGGCGCCGCATCGTCGACCTTGGAGGGACTTCCAGGGACTAGCCAAGCATCAAATACCGGACCATTATCCGTCTATTTGTGGATCGTGTTTCGAGCGGTCCACAGTAGTCAACTGCCCGCGTAGCGTCGCCGTCAAAAAGGCGCGTACCTGCGTAGAATTCTTGGCCCAGGAAAATGATGCCGAATCACTCGTAGGCCCACGTAAAACACTTCTCGTGCATTCGGAGCTGATAGACACTTGTATCGGGGAACAACACATACCAGTGTCTGTAAAACGTTCCTCGCATCGTTACCGACGTTTACGGCGCGCAATCAGACAATGTAAGCCAATGTAAGCACAATGCAGGGCAGGAATGCGGCTTCTGATATGAATAAATGTTCCATTTATTGCGTGGCGTCTGTATAGGAATTTTCTTCTCGACGCTGAACACAACTGGCCAACCAATCTTAATACAATTATTATGGTGCAGTCACAATAGAAGGAATAGAATTAGCAGTAAAGAATAAATAAAGATTTCAACCTATCACATAACCGTGTATTCCGGTGTATTCGATTTCTGATAGGCTGAAACATACCTTATTCGGCTTATTCCTTCTATTGTGGGTTGCACCCTTAAGGATCGACAGAAAAGACTCCTAGGGCCGGTATTCATAGTCAGATCTTATATTCAAGACCGTCTTAAGTACGGTCTTAAGAAGTCACGAACCAATCAGAGGGCTGCATTAGCGTCTTAAGACATTACTTAAGAGTTAAGACGGTCTTGAAATAAGAATCGACTATGAATACCGGCCTTAACCAAGTCGTTCAAGTTGGCTATTGGCCAACTTCACCGATTACGACTTAAGATCGCTTAGAACTTCTGACTTGCGGCTTATTGTAGAAGGCCTATAAGAATCGACTATGAATACCGGTCTGTTTCGCATCGTAAAATTGGTACTGATAGGCGTCGTCTACAATACACGGAGTGAAGAAGTAAGAGTAAGAAATTGACCAATTACAGTCGAATCCGAGAAGAATAAGCGACTGTGATTCGCCCATTTCTTATGGCTTAAGGCTTAAAACCTTATTGTAGGTCCGGACTTTTGCAGAAGTCTGTGCTGCAGCCATTAGGGCCTGCGTACAATAGAACAAATATTAGGAACAAGAATAAATATTAAGATTTTAACCTACCAGGATCCAGTTACATCGGAGTAATAACGGTTTCTGATAGGTTGAAATTTTAATATTTATTCTTATATTCCTATTATTTCCTTCATTGTGCCTAGGGCCTTATGCGGGGGTCTACAATAGAAAATTGACCAATCGTAGTCGATTATTCTTCTTATATTCGATTGCGATTGGTTAATTTTTTACGACTTAAGATTCTACGACCGCTACGACTTCTATTGTAGACCCCGCATTTAAGCAATTGAAAAGTACCCATTATTTTATAAATCTAGTGACTTTATTGAGTGAGAAATCCGAACGCACCCTAGAGGAGAGGATCTCTAGATTACATATGCCCTGAGATTTTATGTTGGTGACCGTGATGTCCGTGATTGTCGTTTGTCGTTTCTTATTACTGTTATGCGAATTGATGCGAATTAATGTTAATAGACAATGGTAGCAAATGTAGTAGGTGTACGAAATACTATAAATAAATGATTAAAAAAACCATAGATAATTTATTAGAATGAAAGAATCGTCATTTCTAAGAACAGGTAATTTTTTGATATCTAACATATATATTTATAATATGGAAATGTTTTCTTTTATTATATTTACTGTTATATTTGCCATTGTAGTAGTTTTGGTATGTCAGATGCAACAAGGGAGAATATGTAAAATATAAAAATAACGTTTGGTCATATTCACTCTTTATTCTTCGTTGCCATATGCCGAATTGAATGTTATAATAAACAAGATGAATTTTGGAGTGGATTGGGATCTTGAACATCAACGTATTTTGCTGGATGGAAATGCAGTATTAGAACGTTCGGCACAGTCGGTCGCAAGATCGCAAGTTGTCGCAGCAGAGAATGAGCATATTGGTACAGAAGTGATCTCTGAATTAGGTGAACAAAGAGATCGTCTCTTGCGCGCAAAAAGGAGATTGTCGCAGACAGATGAGGAATTGGATAGAGCGAGAAAAATTCTGAATGTTATGCGACTCAAGGTTTTGACAAACAAAGTTGTGCTAATCTTGATCATTTTACTGGAATTAGTTATTCTTGGTATAATTGTATACTTAAAATTTTTTCATAAATGAGTTGTCTCTTATTAAGCTTGATAAAACCAAGAGGAAATAATATTGTACATAATATAGAATATAATATATATTAACAGTTCGTAGTTATGGTTAGGCCATTTTTGTAAAATTTAATGAAATAAATAAAATAAGTTTTTCTGAAAACTGAATTTTTTTTATTAAGATTATTTTGATTATTTTGATTATTTTTGTATTATTTTCTTCTATTATTGGACTACTTCAAGATATATTGTAATTAGGTCTGTTTTATTCCTGCACTCTCTGAACTAGTGCATACTGTGTAATAAGTTAAAGTGAGACAAACATATATTTGCTCCACTTTAACATATTATACCTTGTGCATTAGTTCAGCAAGTGCAGGAATAAAAAACAGATCTATTGTGAACCTACATAAAATTTTACTTAATTCTATCAATCGATAGTGAATAGAGCAATCATGGTGAAATCAGAATCCTATTCTACCATGACAGCAATATTAAAATTGTTTATTGCTTACTTCATGTACATTTCATAATACATTCAATTATTTTTTCATTAATCTGTTATAAATGAACGATAAGAAATCCTTGAAATGGTTATTCTGCATGACGATGAATATTATCGAAATAGAATACCTGAGCCTGACTTAGGAGCATTTCAAAATTTTTTGCGATTTGTTTGGAGTCCAGATAGAAGACAGTTGTTTGGTAGAAGTGGAAAAGAATGGGGTAATTATTAAAAGGTACATTTTTTCAATTGCTAATCGCTGTGGAATTATATGATTGTTTACTTGAATAGCCTTGTTGGGACTCTTTTACTTGTGTTTCTTTACTGTATTGGGTTCCTTGTTCGCATTGCAAATGTGGATTAGTATCGACTATGTTTCAAAATTAGAAAGACCGTTTTTTCTTTATAGCGGTTTAATGCCTAGATCTTATTTTGATGGCAATTTTCCGCTTTTTCGTCAACTACATTTTGATAATCCAGGTAAAATTTCCTTAAAAACTAATAAAACATACAATATGCTATTTCAGTTGATTCTAATAGCCCATTAAACTAGAATGGATTGAAATTAATTTAGGTTTTCAGAAATATGCATTTGTAAATATTAAAATAAACCTTTTTCAATCCGAATGCATTTTTATTAATTTATAGGCATTGCATGAATCGCATTTCTGTACCTTCTAATCTAAAAATAATATCAGCTTTTTCTATGCATTGTGAATATTGCTTAATTAAAAATTTTAAATAGGAAATGCAGTTCTCTATCTAATTGATATTTCAATGAACTTAAAATACACATAAAAGTTTCAATCCATTTTAATTCGTTTTCGATTACTGGGAGGACATTCTTGATTGTAATATTTTATTTAAACAGGAATTGCTTTCAAACCAAATATTTTGCTACCCACGAAATCTCCTATTATTTGGGTAGATAATTTTAATACAAACGCTCGACCAAAAAGATATGTGCAAGCCTTAAGTGACTTTTTACAAGGTATGGACATCAGATGAGAACAAATAATGCAAGCATTCATAATTAGAATTTTTAATTAACAACCCAGTATCCGGAAAGAAATTGAAATAGATAGACATAATTTCGTGTGGTTATCGCCGAATCCAAATTCTCAATTTTTTCATATCCTTTTCCCTTGACAAGGGACTGAAACTATGGAATTTCTATTTTTTTCAATCGAAAACAAGTCTCGTGGACAAAAATAAGCCGCGCAAATCCATTTTCATTCATAATACAGGATTGAAATGTCATAATTGCTATTCAATCCAAAACAAGTTTGAGAATCTCAAATCCAGTTTTGCTCCAGAAATTGATGAAAGAGCCCCTGATTTAAGTTATTATATTTCAACTTTTGAGATAAAATTTTTTTAAATGGCTTAAAATTTTCCTTGAAATGTCTATTGCTCGATGCCGTATGACATTTTTAACAATTCAAAATGACAAGCCCAAAATGGCAGCTGGAATGAAACAACATGGGTGCATTCGAGGAGCGCGTTATCCGCGTCATATGTGTAATACTATCCTTTTCTCACGTCTAGACGCTGAAGATAGAATAACATAAATAGCGCTAATAGCGTCTCCCCTAACGCAGCCCATATGTTAAGGTCAAGGTCATTGGAAATGACTCCCCTTTTCTGAATATTTACTGAGAACAATTTGGCTCCATAATTTAGATTTAAAAAATATGGATTTATTTGATTTTTGTTGTAAATTCTTTAAGTGTATTTTAGATATAAAGAACAAATTGAGAGAATGGAAATTGAATGGAAAAATTTTTACAGCAAAATGTTGCCTTATTTTAATAAAAATAAGGAAAAAAATGGTAACTAACGTTTTCATTTTAGAATACAATAAAAGTAAAGAGAGCTATAAAACAGTTGCGGAATGTAGTGCATTAATCACATCTAATACAAAACCTTGTTTCTTCGATATTGAAAGCCTTGGTGTTTGTGGGCAGCCTCCATATGGATATACTGATCCATTACAACCGTGTGTTCTCATTAAGTTCAATAAGGTAATAATTCTGTTTTTAAAAAATATAAGAAAATATAATAATATAATTGGCAATGAGAAGAGTGTTCAGCAATAAAGTTCTTTTCAACGTTTGTCTGGAAAACAGAGATTACAATATTATATTACATGTATTTTACACAATATCAATAAAGATGGTTCGAAGTAGAGCCGTACTGCGCTAAACTCTCATTGCTAATGACATTTTTATACTCTTTATCTTATTAAGAATTTCATTTTTGTCTATTTAATAGAAAAGATATTTTCTTGATTAAAATTAACGTTTTTGTTAATTTAATCTTGATGAAAAAATTGTAACAAAATTTTGATGAAATTTTAATTATTCTCTGAATAAGTAATTTTCTGCATTTAACAGATAATATAATAACGTTTTAATGTTATTTGAATTTAAAAATAAAGTATTAACAAAAATTACTACTACTGTTTAATAAAAGAAAGGAAGAAAATTTTATTGAAAAAAAATATTGTATAACGAATTTTAAATAAACACACGAAGCGAGGTCCACCCCATCTCCCTCCTGTCTAGGGGCGTGCGACTTTCCACTTTCCATATGAACTGAGATCCATCCCACAATCAGATAATGATTGGGTTAGGTTAGGATTAAATCGAGGTGGGGATGCAGGGGGAGTGCCGGAGCCCCTCCCCCGTCACGTGTTCTTTCTATACGAAACTAATTGAATAAAACAATTAGAACAATTGTTGAAATTGCTTCGCTCTAAAAGCAAAGAGGGGAAGAACACATTTGTTAACATTTTAGTAAATTGATTAAAATAATATAAAACATAAAATGAATTTTTTTAAGTATCCCATACACTATACAGCACCGAAAGTTTTCAGAAATATCTCAGAAATATTTCAACTGAAAAGTGAAACATTTCATAAAAATTGCGAAATATATCTGCAACATTTCTGAGACAGTTCCGAAATAGCAAAATGTCCACAATTCTTGCATATGAAACCTTGTTGAAAGGTTGATGAAATATTATAGAAAGAATCTATAATCTTTTTGAAATAAATCATGAAATAAATATATGGTAAATGACTTTTTTCAAGCTAACACAGGTTACTAGTGTGTGTAATAATTTATTATTTTCTTAGAAAATTGAACGGTAAACGTTTGACCTTTGTTTTTGGGTCCTCTTCACTACAATATAAAATTAAAATAATAAAATAATCAAGTACATGTTATGCGAGTGATTCTTCTAAAGCGCGAGTCGTGTCTGGTTTAGAACTTCTTGAAATATTGCCAAAAAGGTTTCGGCTATTTCTAGTACTACAAAAATGATGTCTAAATATATACTTGATTGTCGACATAATAAATTTAAATATTGTTTAAGTATCAATTAAACATATATTTAAATATGATTTCAGAAGCACGTACTTAAAATTTTTGTTCTGTTAACTACATATTTTCATCGTTTGATACTCAGCGATATATTTTTTGGCGCAAATCCAGGATCTACCTTCCGTCAACTGGATATAATTATAAACAATTAGAATCAGATAAAATCAGAGTCTAAACAACGGTCTTCTTTGTCGTTGTACGTCTATATATAATCTGTTATTTTTATTAGCTTATTTTAGTCAACCGCTTTTATATACATATTAGTTTTTAACTTTAATAAATGACACGAAGGATGTCGAAACGTTAATTGTATGTGGATATATTTTTATCTTGTTTTTACTTTTATATTTAATGTCAACTGCATCATATGTACATTAAAATTGATTTGTTGTTGGCTCGTAGCTCTTCTTATTTTAATTTCTTTTAAAATTTAAATCATTCGAGCCATTTTTTATTTTGTATACTTGAAATTTATTAAGAATTCTGGCCATTAGTCATACGCATTTGTGATCTTTAGATTACAAAACATACAGATTACAAAACTTATTGAAATAAACTTAAAGTATTTCTCAAAAATAGTAAATTATACCGCCAACTATTTTGATTAATTAATCATATTATATGTATAAGCATAATTCGTAATTCACTATTAAAAAATCACACTTGCAGTTTCCATACAACATTATTCATATACGTGAGTCATTCGATAAGTCTGATAAATCTTTATAAGTTATAAGTAAATCTTTTTGACGTGACTGGAAAGTATCATTCTTCAAACTCTTCCAGGTCAAATTTCAACCAGAATTGATACGTTGTTCACGTTTGATAGTTGTTTAAAGCGAGCGAGAAATTAAGCAGTTGTCCCGTATAAAAATAAAAAAGGAAACAAATTCTATGCAAAATTAAGTGGATGAGGAATCAATTCAAAGCCAAATTCTATAATTTTGCACGGAATTCATTTTTTTTTTTTACGCAGCAACTGCTAAATTTTGTGCTTTAAATGATTACCGAACGTGAACAACGTATCAATTCTAACTGACATTTGGCCTGGAAGGGTTAAAGAATGATAATTTTCCGGTGTCACGTCATCAAATGGATTGTTACATCATTTTATAAAGATTTACCAGTCTTATCGAACGACCCTCGTACAAAAGTTTTTCGCAATTAAAGTAGAACAAGTCACAATAACATTAAAATAACATTAAACTGAATCGTGATTGATAAAAAAATTACTTTTAGTAAACATTTTGGAGCAATTTTAACATGACTTTTTGTTCTGTTTAAATGTTGTTCAATTTATTGCTTATGACTTATGATAGATTTTAGAAATATTTCTGTTAAAACGTTTCATATGACATATTGCAGAATCCTTTCAGAATTGTTGCGTATGAGATGTGAAAGGTTGAAACATTTCTGAAAATTTTCCGCAATAATCGGTGCTGTATGGGATCATTACATTTTTAATTAAAAATTTTTACCATGAATCATCGTAAAAAATAATGTTTTTAAAAATTATAATTATTTTGCAGAAGTTTAATTGGGTACCAATTCCTTACAATAAATCGTCCCTCTTACCAGAGAATATGCCACATGCTTTGCAGGAAGCTGTGCAATTTTCAAACAAGGTTTGATTCAAATTTATCATGTATTTAATAATTAGTGTAGTTGAATTTTTTTATCCAGCAGGACTCTATTTATACGAACAAATTCGTGCTCAGTTATAATTAAAGGAATATATATATATATATAGGTACAAGCTCATAGGCTGGTATTGATACTCCGTTCTTATTTTAAGACAATTTTAAGTAAAGTAATGTCTTCAGATGGTTCTGTGATGTTAATTTAATGCTTAAATAAGGATGCGTTGGAGAAAGAAATATCAAAAAGCCAATGTCAGATTACGGATTGACGATTACGATTAACGTAATGACGATTTGCTCTGTTCTATTTCAGACGATAGACTCGCTTCATTTTGATTAGAATATGATCGGGCAACAATTAATCGTAATCGTCAGTCCATTGTCTAATGTAGGTAGAACGGAACAGTAACGAAAAAGAGATGTGATGGGGATTTATAGCCAATCAGAGTAACTTTATTTTAATTTCGTTCGCTGTTTAGTAGTTGGGTTTATCATGGCACGGAACTATTATGAAAAGAGATGGAAAAATTAACATATTTCTATACCTATTATAGCATGGATACTAATTCGTATTAAAGCCCAACTTTGAGAGCTCACTTAACTCATTAGCCGCAATTTTGATAGCAACACATATGTATGTTTGCAAGCAATATGCCAGCAACAAGATACGTTACTATCTGGATGCATATGTATGTGTATTCATGCAATTTATTCTATAATAATTAAATAGTTTCAAATCTGGTTATGGTGTGATGGAGTGAATAACGTTGATAAAGAGCATATCGGAGAAATTGAGTATTTACCAAGTCCTGGATTTTCTGTGCAATATTTTCCGTTTATTGGTCAACCAGATTATTTGACACCTGTAGTCGCGCTGCGTTTTAAAAATGTCACATGTAAGCCACTAATATGTATATGATTATAAAAATTATATATTCAATGTTTCAGAAATAGAAAATAATTATTAGAATCTTAGGCCCGATTGCACCAAAGTTATTTTGATTTTAAGCGAGGTTTAAAACTCTCTGTCTGTTTCTTTTTCGGCTTTAAAACGAGAGATAGAGTTTTAAGTTTCGTTTAAAGTCAAAGTAACATTGGTGCAACCGGACCTTAGTATTTAAAAAATGTTATTGATATGTTCTTGTAATTATATAAAAATAATTTGGTATAAAATTTTGTTCGTGTACAGAGCCTCTATTCTTGAAAAGAAACGTATACGAACAACTAGGGAAATACTATAATACACGTTACGTATACTATAGTATTTACCTAGTTATTTGTTTCGTTTCAAGAATAGGAGTCCTGGGTGTTTGATAACGTACACTGAACTTAGAACGTATATATCACTGGAAGCGGAATTGCCTATGCCAGTGCTAGGATTTACTTGCGTAATATTTAATATTTAACTATCAGACTCTTTATTTGTGTTTAACTGTCAGACTCTTTATTGAGTATATGTATTTGTTCTTTTTGCTTTCCATAATTATAACAAAATATTGTTTTGTATTATTTAAAAGATTTGATAAATTTTGTAAATAGCCATATTTATATAATAAATTGAAATTATTCATTACTAATTTTTTAAATAATATAGATAACAAATATTGTATTTCATTAATACAATGTTTTTAGCGTTTAGATTAGTGACGGTGGAATGTAACTTATGGGCACTCAATATTAACAAAGATGAACAGAATGCATTGGATTTTCAACTAATTCTGGGCGAACTATAAAAGGCGGTGATCAACAAATGTTTATGTACCTTAAATATTTATTAACAAATATGCAAATATAATAAAAAGTTGGATTATTTTTAATGTACTTTGTGCAGAATGTGAAAAGTGAATTTTATTTATCCGCAGTTCTTATAATTTCGCATTAAACATTTATTAATTTGTAAAAAATCTTGTCGTTAATAATAATTGCTTTATTATTTATTATATCTCATTAATAATATAGAAAAATGAATAATTTTCTGGATATTGTTTTGTTTTTGAAGATTTTAATTTGAGGTACATTTATAAAAAAAAATGAAAGCTACGATTATACGTATGATAATATATTTTTGTTGATAGACTCAAACTGCCGTGTTTAGGTTTTCTGAGATAGCGAAGGAGTATGTTCAATTCATCTCATAAATTAAAAGACTAATAAATCGATTCTACTGACGGAATAGTGACTTAAGACTACACAAAGAGTTCCATTTTTACAGAATTTATTAGTTTTATTAAAATAAAGAATTAATATCTTTATTATATATGAACGAGAAAAGGGCAAAACGAAGCTTTATTTGTCGACAAACATGTATCTTTTGTACACTTGTGAATTATGTTGAAATTTGTCATTCGTCGTCCCTTCTGGAATCAGCAGTGTTCTCTAGAGCAAAAAGATGAAAACAGGTAGAGAAAGAGAGAGAAAGAGAGAGAATAGAAAACGAAATGAGATAGATCAAATAATAAAGAGAGATAAATAAGATAGAAAAAGATTCGTAGGAAGAGAAAAGAAAAAGGTGTAGACCAAAAAAAGAGAAAAAATATTAGAGAAAGCTGAAAAATAGCTAAAAAGGCAATGAAAGAATGACGAATAGATGCAAAAAAGAGAGAGAGAAACAGAAAGAAAATGAGAAATAGTCCGTTTAGATTAAGTAATATAGTAGTTGTGTACTGTCGTATTTTTGTCACTGAGTAAAAGAGTATGAGAAAAGAAAAAAGCTAGGAGAAAAGACAGAAAACAGGAAAGAGAAAGAATTGCATATAAAATATCTGTTCTCTTTTGAGGCAAATTTTGCATGAAAATGACGTTAATATGAGACTTCAGTCGAGGGACATTCTTTTCTTGATGACACAATTTTAGATCTTATTCTTCTTCTTCTTCGCCCGTGCCGGTCAACATAGCAATTAAGCTCGGAGTATCAATGAAGCCTTTATCATCGATGTACATTTGGTCAAATGCGTCATTCACCTCCCTTGGTGTGAATTTATCGCCCCACGTCACTAAAGCGTGCCTTAACCTATGTAACAAACGTAAAAACCGTCTTATATACGTATAAGTTATTCCATTTCAAAACACTACGGTTGATGCCATCTCAGGACTTTAATCCGGGCTCTACACACACACACACTCTTTACCTTTAATTTGCTTTTTTTATTCAACATTGAAGCAAAAGTGATCATTTTGCTTCAACGTTCAATAACTCGGTGAAAAAAAATCGTACAACGCTCAATAAAAAGGCAAATTGAAAGTAAAGATTCACTCTTTCGAAAGCTGTAAATCCCATTTGTGCGCAATTTTTAATTGGCGCCGCGAAACTTTGCAAATTTTGTTTTTCGCAAAAAATTTTGAAAACTTATGCATCTTCATTTATGTTTGTGTAACTTCACATAACATCAGAACGACCGTTTTTTGAAGTACCGATTTCGAAAGTAGAGATTTCAAGTTTTAAAAGGCTTTTTCAAACATCTCACTACGATAAGTTATTGCTATCTGAAAATATTAAAAATTTGCGCAAAAATTTAGTGGCCCGTTTCTTTTTTACGTATGAGTGTATATGTATACAGAGTTGAGAAAGTTATATTTTATAAGTTGCTTATTATAAATTACTTTTCGTTTAGTTTACCTTATATGTGTTGGTAATAGAAACTGAGTACAAAAAGTAATACGAAATTGGAACAAATTATGAAACTTAATATAAAAAATAACCCCTGTAAAAAATAAAATAACCAATCTTATTGTACTCTGTTTCCGTAATAAGAAGTAACTTATAAAATAATATGATAACTTGTAAAGTAATTTTCAATATAATATATATACCTTTCACCGTCGATTTTGCCATTATCATCGAATGTCTTAAAGGCATTTATTACAACATCGTCATCATCAGCACCTAACAAAACAAGAATTATTCAGTTTTAAAGCGTTTTTTACTTGTTTCTCCAATTAATAAATTATATCTACCTGATCCTGACATACGAACGGCGAATAAATTTAACAGTTGAGTGAAGTTGATGGGCGCTGGAGCTTCGTTAAGCATTTCCTCGATCTCCTTATCGGTTGCTAATCGACCTACAGAATCGAAAGCTGCTCGAAGATCATTCTTACCAATAATACCATCCTTATCCGCATCCATTAGTTGAAATGCCTGTGAATACAACAACATTTAGAATATGAACACAATAGTATGAACACGTATAATATTTAATATTTTTATATTCCTCCGTAAACTGAAATTCTGACCTTCCATTATACGTTTGTTAAATAAGAGTTAAGAAATGAGAAAGCTATTCTAAATATTAATTACCAAAATTATATAGGAAAGGGTCAAATATTTTTTTAAAAATTAAATACAAGAATAGGGTTACAAGTCAAGCAAGATTTAGATACTATATTGTTAAACAAACAGAAAGTTTATTAGAACACAGGTTTTAATCCCAATCGGGTCATTCTCAATGTTAACAATTTTAAATTCAACCAGTATCAACTAATTATCGTTTGCTCTGATTACAACATTCAAAACAATCAATTCCAAAGAACAAAAACATTATGAAATCGCTACTGTAACGTCTCGTCAATGGATGTCTTAAAGTAGAGTTAAACGAAAGTAGCCAAATGCATAGTTCTTCGAACTATTAACTCATTTAAAAATCTTCCTATTCCAACCCGAGTGATCTATATTTTTCTATTCCAACTCAGTAAAATTTAATTACAAATAATTAAAAAAGTAAAAGTATAAAAGCTGAAAAAATTTATTTCAAATAAATGTTTACAGTAAAAAAAACTTGGTGCTGATTAACAATACAAAATGCATGATATCACTGCAAAATTACTCTTTTTACAAAAAGGTAATAAAAAGGCGCTTAATGTATGCACCTGTATGTGCGCTCTTGAAGAAAAAAATGACTTACTATTCCAAATCTATTTGTTTAAAAGGCGCGCGTTTTACACTTGGCGCCTTTTTTACCTTTTTATAAAAAGGGTAATTTGTGGTGATTGAGAATGACTTAATTAGGATAAAACGTATATTCTAATAAATTTTGTTTGTTGTTTAATAATATAGCATCAAGACCTTGCTTGGCTCGTATCCATATTCTTATTAAGAGGGTCTCTTGCTTTAGGAAACCGAAAAAAATGGTGATTTTTCGTAATTTTTTTCAAAAGAAAAACTAATATTTATTTATTATTATTTTAAAACTGCTATAGTTTTAATATAACTATTGTAGGGTACGTACAAATATTTGAGCCGTTTATTTTGAAAGTGGCCTAAGTCCATTTTTCAATGTTTTGTTGTTGATCTTTGTAGTAGCGTGTACAACTTGAAGTTAGCTGTCAAACATTTTTTTTTTAAATAGACTTAGGTCACTTTCAAAATAAACGGCTCATTTATGTAAAAAAAAAAGTATTCTAAATAATAAAAATATAAACATTTGGTTTGGCATTTCGCCACGACGTTATGATTTTGTGTACGTCCTAGCATCATTTTTGCCGAAAACAAAAAATTAAGAAATATTTTTAATTGTCAGTTTTTTATCCTAAATAAATCTAAAAAATGAAAAAAAATATATATAAATAAAAATTTTGTGCGATTTTAAAAAAACAATTGCGATTTTCATTAGGTAGCAGCCGGTTCTTTATGCAAAAGAAAATTGTTAATGTTTATTTTTATTTAATTTTTTAAGTTCATCGAGGATGGCTCGATTAGCTAACTAACGAGCCCTATAAAAAGTCGATTGGTCAAATACTTTTTTTCAATCGTGTACACAAAATAGAAGGAAATGCAAAAAATATATTTTGAAAAAAGCGCGTTTAAAGTTTTCGATTTAGTTCTTGAGTACTTACAATGCTCGGAGGCTAAGGGCCTGCGCACAATAGAGGAACAAGAATTAGATATTAAGATTTCAACCTATCAGAAACCGTGTATTCCGATGTAATCGGTTTCTGATAGGTTAACATCTTAATATCTAATTCCTGTTCCTCTATTGTGCTCAGGCCCTAATCTGTTATTCCAGGGACATACAATAATTTTTCAGCTTCTTCATGGAATTCATTTTGAGCAATTTGAGCCATTTTACGAGCTACTGGGACCTCTCTCGTGCTATTAACAAGGGAACCGACCCTCACCGATTTTAATGAGTTTTGGATATGTTGAGCATGAAAAAATATTAGACCTATATTTTTTTGTTTGTGTTTATCTTAAGATTTAGGAGGTGAAACACCCCCTCGAAAAAAATCGTTTTTTTTTTCTTTTGAAGCGAATATCGAAACTATAAGAGATAGAAAAAATTTTTTAGAATATAAAAATTGAATGGCTTTAAGTACTTTAATAAAAAAAATTTTTTTTAATTATTATATTTGCGTACCGTGCACCCATATATACAAACGCTTAATTTATATCGAAGGACTTTGAATTTCGCTTTCAAATTTTAGGGACATATTCTCGAAGAGTTGTATTATCGATTTATGAAAAAAAAAATCGACTTTTTTACCCTCTAGAGCAGGAGACCTCCTTAATTATCAGCTTAATTGAGTGATGTTTTTAAGTCCGCAAAAGATCAATATATTGCAGATTCCCTCTCTCTATTCTGAAATAATAGATTCCTTAATTCTTAACTTTGAGGAGGAATACAGGTCAGGCATTCAAGAATAGCAGTGCCAGAGTAGAAAGATCCAAAATAGAGACGAATTTGAAGTAGAACTAGAATTATGTGTAAAATTGTATCTTAATCGAACCATACCTCCTTAAATTCAGCCACTTGTTTCTGAGAGAACATGGAGAATACACTGGATCCGCTGCGTTTAGCCTTGCGACTGCCACGGCTGCTTGCTCTAGCAGAACCAGAGTCTTTTGGTGTGCCTGTTGGAGTTGGTGCTTTTTCTTCAACTGGCGCTGGCTCGGGCTCGGGTGCTGGCGCCTCTTCCTTCTTCTTAGTCTTCTTCTTC